GAAGGGATAGAAAAAAAAGAAAAACCTTACTCTCGGTATGAAATTAAAATCAATACACCACCAAGGTAGGTTCAATGTGAGTACGAATTGTTTTTGTATACATAAAGGGGGTTTAAATTTACGGATGACAGGAGCTTCAATAAATTTAAGCACTCGGCTCTGACCACTTTTATGTAGTACTTTAAAGGCTGTTTTCATGTCTATCCTATGGTTAGTTTCTAGTATATGTTTAGCGATAGACGAAGATGGATGCTTGTCACCTGCACTTATCGGATCTGTTGAGGTCATTTGTTTTTGTAGCTACTTAGACTGTTTGAAATGGTCGCTAATACATCACATGTTTCAGATAATCTTCGTCTTCTCATTACGCTGTTTAAATTTATCACAGGGACTAGTTGCTTTAAATTTTTAAAAACAATATATTGTCGTTGATTCGATTTCGTGTTATTTCGATGAAACCTCATAGGATAACCATTGTGAAAAAGCACCTTTAAAAGGTATTCCAACTCATCATCTAGTGTGTCACTTCTGCTTATTCTTCTGATTCTTATGCACTGAAAATCAAAAAGGTTCCTTTTCGAACTAGTGATATCCACATCTGAAAATCAGTGTATTCTCCATTTCAATTTGACTTACTAAAGATCAGCCATTTCATACAGCCACCAGGACCTCCCCTCAACAAGATATCAAGAAAATGAAATTTGGAGTTGTACTCAACTCCCATCCTGAAATTGACAGAAAGATGACTCTCATTGAATTTAACAAGAATGCCGTCAAGATCAATTTTCTCATCACAAACGATTTAGGCATTATCCATATATCTTCTAGATATTTGGAACTCATCAATCATTTGACATACTACAGTATCTTCCAAACTAGTCATGAAGCAATCTACCAGAAGAGAAGGGCACAGTGCTGATCCTATGGCTACTCCACCAGTTTGTCAATGAAATGCGTTATTGAACTTGAATTGTGCATGGTAGAAATAATTCCATTATATAGTGAAATGGTATACCAACTTGTAGACTATTAGCTTTGATGTAGTTACATAGTAAATAAATAGTCTATGTAAGTGGAATATTTGTGAAGAGTGAAGTGACATAGAAAGACAGCATTCATTATCCAGGCTAATAAGTGAAACGAAGAATTCAAATTATTCCACAGAAGTGTATCTAATAATTCGATTTCTCACTGGTTGAAGAATTTTAGCCAAAAACATTTTGAAATTACATGATATGGGAAATCATTTATAAGGAAAATCGGAGAGAGAGTAACCTACTTCAAGTGTAATTTCCATAAGCCATAGAGTCTGTAGGATTACAGAAACTGATCGATTTAAATATTTCAACAGATCACTGTTTTAATGCTTCCACACATTTTTCATCTTTTCAAAGATTTTGATCAACGTATTGCCGAGTGTGTTCACTTGTATCTTTCTCAATAGTCTTTTTTTGGAAATTTGTTCTTGTCAGATAGTACGAAGAACCACATGGCAACTCTTGTTATCACCATATTAAGACAAAACCGAGTACTCAAAGACTACTATCAAAAGAGAACAGATCTACTCACAAATTAAGATTTTACGTTAGCCCCTGTCGATGAGGATTCTAGCATCAACCACGTGGACCACTAAGCCAACTGACAGAAGAAATGGCAATAGTCAATTTGATTGGTGCTCAAAATTGTCTTCATCCACAAATACAATCTCTCCTGTTTCGCATTCCTCAATGCTAGTGAAATCTAGCAAAGACATTTTCATATTTATCCCCTTCTCCATCTACATTCCAGGTTTCTAATCACCTAGTGAAATGGTATTACTCCTGAGGACATAAATGTTTTCTGTCTGATGATCTCTCTGAATACCATTTACAGTTCATTGCTTATATAGTGGCAGTGTCATTCGACAAAGCCAGTAATAACTTGTATTTACAATAATCAAACTTTACTAGGTATACTTGGAGAGACCTTCTTCACTGTCTCACAATGGATGCATGGAAGAGGACGTTTCAATGACACACTCCTGAGAACAGAATATTCCCTCTCAGCCACGTTATTAGAACTATCTCTAAAATAATTCAGTTTAAATAAGTTAGATATTATGACTACATGAATGTATTCAGTTGACTCAAACAAAACTATGCAGTGTTCACAGTCAGTAGAGTCAAAAACCCTCATTTCGGAAGTAGTTCAGGTATTCTATTGAAGGCTTTTGACATAAGTAGATAAGATGGTCACCGTATGTTCGGATCCCACTGATGCGTTTGGCAAGTTGATCAGGTTGAAATATTATCAGTCTAACTACTCGAATCATTCTCATTCGCTCCTGAGAATTCTCGATCTTCAAAAGTCCAAGAAGAATCAGGTCCGGTATAGCCAGCTCACCTGGTGAGCATTCTACGGTTCAGCTGAACACTATGCAGTTCTCTACTCTCCTGGATACTGTCAATAACACCATCGACAACTAGTGTTATCGAAAGCAACTATCGTTACTTTCGTCTCCACTGGTGACACGGATTACCACTTTCCAATAGGACCTCGACAAATCCATTTGTAAACCAGTCATATCGAAATAGTGAAGGATGGTTAATAGCAACGGAATCCACAAGATACGTTCTATCCAACCTAATTCTCGTCACATGGACGTGTCTGCCACTCAATAGCTGATATTGTTCCCACTGAAATTTCAACCTAAGATTCATCACTTTAAAAGCTACAGTGTTATCCAATCAGCCAAAGAGTCAAAAACGTCAGGGCTTATGTGATGAATATGGTTTGGATTGACATATTTGATCAGATACTATGAGCATATCATCTTCAACGAAGGATGCCACGACATTGCCAGTCAGTTACGACACACCTTATGACCAACCATGCTCGATCAATGTTCACCGGTGGTCACGAGTAGTGATCACGATACAACACTAACGCACAGAAGCTACAGAACGATTTACCACTGCAATTGAAATCACAGACATCACCTAGAAACTCTAAATTCCATGTGTGAATATCAAATGGAAATATGAGTAGGATAATGGTGAATAATCACAAATCAGAATGAAATATCTGTCGAATGTTCACTGATTTATCATAGTTAAGTAGATAATATTAGTTAGTGCCGTAATCTGCTCCTCCTAAACTACTGAAATAATCCACCAGTATACTTCATCACATAGAACTCGATCAAACAATTAGTCTACTCATTGTTTCAATCTTGAATAATAGATATGTGAACAGAAAAGGAAATACTGTGTTGACTTAACGCGTAATATTTACCTAGTTGAATAAAGAATAACACATCCAATAGAAGAACATCTTCCCCATTTTGTTCATGAATTAATGGTATATAAATACTACTGAGAATTATATACTTTCTTCAAGATTTATCTTGCACATTAATCTTTCCAATGAAATTTAACAATATAATATATTCAATGGTATAAAATAAATAGTCCATGTGCATTTAAACAAATGAAAGAAAAACTTGAACCAATAGCACACAGAATTCACATTGAATTTACATTTATGATAAACTTTTGTTACAGACATAAAAGTGAAAACTAGTCAACTTTTATATTACAGTTAGATTGATTCAGAGAAATACTAGTTTAGGCTTTGATACAGGGTAATGATTCGAGGTGAAATGGAAATTGAACCAGTCACTTGCTAGTTATCAACGTGATACTCCTCTACCAGATGAGCTGTGATACTCAGCCACAAACCAAACATTAAATTCACTTCACTATATAGACTTGATTTAGAAACAATATACATGGGAATAGATCGATGAAAATGTCCGATTGCAGATAACTTAGGAGCACTAGACAGTTATTGCGTCTTATTATTGAACTCCTCATCACCCATAGTCCCTCCAGATGTTGAATCCAGGACTCAGTTTCCCTGGCCAGCACGTTACCATCAAGTCAATCTGTTGAGATCCAATCGTACATTTTTTTTCGACTTTTCTGAGTTGACGACGTTGCACAACCATCATCTAATATCATCCTTGAGTGTTTGTCGTCATGTCCACCAGGTTTGACCCACTGGTCATTAGTAACATGCTGGTAAGGGAACCAGAATGTCCAGGGTTGAAGTCATAGGCATAGACTGATAAGGAGTCCGATTGCAAATAATTTTGTCTGTGAAATATTAAAATAATGAATCTTCCAAGGGGATTCTGATCGAATTCAACAGTCAATTTCAGACTTACGGAGTGGACATGAGGTAGAATATCTATTGTGCAAGCGTTAGGGTCAGGTTGACTGGTTGCATAGAATTCATTCAATTTGAGTGACTGGATTCTGCAGTTGATGACCTACTGGCTGCATATATGGGTGAATCACAGTTGAGAGAATGATGTTTACCTATGAGTCTCACTATCGCTTTTCAGTTCGATGGATGCCAGTTGGCTGGAAGTGATCAGTGATCATGAACAAAATGGGGAAGATGTTCTTCTATTGGATGTGTTATTCTTTATTCAACTAGGTAAATATTACGCTTTAAGTCAACACAGTCTTTCCTTTTCTGTTCACATATCTATTATTCAAGATTGAAACAATGAGTAGACTAATTGTTTGATTGAGTTCTATGTGATGAAGTATACTGGTGGATTATTTCAGTAGTTTAGGAGGAGCAGATTACGGCACTAACCAATATTATCTACTTAACTATGATAAATCAGTGAACATTCGACAGATATTTCATCCTGATTTGTGATTATTCACCATTATCCTACTTATAATTCCATTTGATATTCACACATGGAATTTAGAGTTTCTAGGTGACGATTTTTACTCTGAGGTCTACTTTCCTACACCTTAACATGTTAGCTGTAATCTCGTATTAAAATTCTCAAAGTGCTTTGCTGTGATTATTGGTTATACTACTAATTATTATTTTTACTTGTTTATTTGTTCAAACTATCAGTTATTACGTCAGTCTGATAATAATAATAATAATAATAATAATAATAATAATAATAATAATAATAATAATAATAATGGCTTTATTGTGAAAGCTGTTTCGAGAATACTCTACATAATTTAACTGCATGTCATATATTATCAGTTGGACATAGACAATGTACACGTATACATAGCAAAATGAAACAAGTAGAAATCACATGCAAAAACAGATAAGAATATTCCCTCTGTTTACAACCACTTTAATAATGCAGAGTTAAGTCAGGTCAACAATCACCTTAGCAATTACGTTGATAATACATTAATTGTAACATCCTCATCATAATCATCATTCAGTTTGCTTTCAAAAGTAGAAGTTGACTAGTTAGTTCACTTCTAATACTTTCTTCATTCCACACGACACAAGCTGAATACGATATTGTAGAGATTTGATATTTATTAGCAGTACATACCCAATGTCTTATGTACTTGTTCCTTGTCTTCCCAAATGACCAACACACAGAGAGCTTCGAGTGAACAGGATGCTGGTCATCTAATAAAATAACTCCTGACAGATGTCTACATGAGTTAAGATGTTTGTCCACAACAGTTTCACAACTGGAAGACTTAGAGGTACACCACTAGTTCTGATGATAATCTTCAAAGTTCCATGCAATATAGCATAGTCTTTCTTCAGAAACCTGCCAAAGAATAAACTGGAACAATAGAGAAGAACAGACAAGATGCAGGTGTTTATAAAACACACGAGAAGAGGCTGAGTTATACCAGATACTCTCAGCTTCCTAATATAGAATGTTGGGCATGAGATTGTTTTGGAAATTAGTAAGATATGTGAGGACCAGGAGAGGTCCGGAGAAAATTATACACTCAGATGAATCACACTTGTAACATTCTATAATAGCCAACTACCGACAGAACAGGAATCATGAGAACTGAGCAGTCAACATAGGTCATGTTCACATCTAAAACTGAAGTTCATAGTCTGACATTTTGAAGAATTTACCACAATCCCATTTATTGGAAGACCATTGTCTTACAGTAGATAGGAAATCATTCAGTTTGGAAAATTGTGTTGTAGAGGGGATAGATATGGAGACTGTCAGGCCATCAGGATATTTGATGAATATGATACTGGCTGAAGGTGTTAGGTCATGTAGAATGAAAGAGAAGAGGCAGGATGAAAGGACGGCTGAATAGGGAACACGAGTCACAGTTAGGAATGGGTTGTAGCTCTTCCCTGTGTGAGCAGTATATTGTTTCCTTTGAGAGAAATAGGAATGTAGTACTAGTAGTAGTACTAGTCCCATGTAGCTTGTCGAGCAAAAGAGGTCTTGGGATATACTTAAATGCCGAAGAGTAGTCTAGAAAAGCACACCTGATATACTTGTCATTTTTATCAAGATTACAACAAATATTGTGATATAAGAAGGTGGTGTCACCCAGAGTAGTTCTTCTTCTTTCATATGCATATCGATTAGGGTCTCTGAAAGCCTTCAGTGAGGGTTCGAGCACAAGTATTTTTAGCTTCTCTATTATTTTCAAAAACGGAGAAGTAACCGTAATGAGATAGAATTTCGGGCATGCGCCAAAAGCTCTTGCCTGAGTTACGGGGACTACCTTAATATTTTTTCCCGGCAGCTGTAATGGCGTCTTCTAAACACCATCTATTGAACATGTCAGCTAACGGATGGCATAAAGTATCAGCACACTTCATGAATACGAAGCTTGACATAACATCCAGATCTAAAATTTATGAAGTGCTCAGGGATGTGAAACATTTGAAAATATTTCTCGCTGAACTCTGGTCAATATTCTTCATTGAAAGTGCGTGGAAAAAGTGGGATGGGACAGGAAGGTTGGCATATAAAAGACTTTTTCAAAGCACAGACGTCAGTGTATGCTTCTCTACTAAGGTGTTTGTAAAAAGGTTTGTTTTTATAAAGTTTCCACATGCTGGAAGATGCCTAGCATTACAAAAGTTTCTGTTTATATAGTTGACTCAGACACACGTGGTTACGCAACCCCTTTCTAACTCTACAGTCGACCCACTGTTTTGCCGTAGAAAATTCTATCTTCATGGTCTGTTGTTGACCTGTTAGACATCATCATCATCGTCTATCAACATAGGACCAGGCATTACCGCATAACGGTCTGAATTCCCCCACCTCATATCACCACATCAAGTAAAAAGACAACGAAGTGGAAGATGAAAATAAGAAAATTCAGTCAAAAGAAATAGAAGTATGAGAAGAAAGAAATGGAGAATAAGAAAATGGTGAGATTCGGTATAGCATCGTTAAGATGAGGACAGTGTGTGTATACATCTGCTCCACTGACATCGGTTCTCAGCCACGCCATCACATAGAGTCTCCAACCAATGGTTCCTCTTGTCCCACAGACCCCAACCACCTAGTCTGCATCGCCACACATGGATGACTTAAACCAACAGTCAGAGACTTCATACATTGTTGCCATGTTTTGGTCTGGCCACCTCGATCCTCTACCCAGCCTGAACCTACTTTGGTCAACACTGTGTGACGAGGCAGATGGTGATTAAGCATACGTAACATATGTCGAAGCCAGGCATCTCAGTCGATGAAGGTTCACAACCATGTCAACTCCCTAAAACTCTACACCTGAGCCGGAGTTCTACGTTACTCCTGTGGTGACACTATGGAATACGGTCTATACTACGAAAGCAATGGTGGTCGAACACCTGAAACCTCATGTGTTCCACCTTCAGTGTCCATGTTTCACAGCCGTAGAGTAGAACAGAGCGGACTGCTGTGCAGCGCACGCGGCCCTTAATAGACAGTCGGATATCATGGCGGCGCCACAGGTGGTGTAAATTGGCAAAAGCCAGTCGAGCTTTTTTTACTCGCGCAGAGATTTAGTCGGCCACTGAACTAGACAATAAGAGAATGATCTATTTGTTTGTCATAACTATAAATACAATTGCATTGCTGCTGAAAATGACTTGTCGAAAAAATCTTCACTAAAGTGTTTTTAAATTATTTACAAATTACACAGTCTACGTTTAAATTACTCACAGTTGAGTAGTAGTTTTTCAACTGCCCAACTGTGGTGTCAGTAGGGATTCTGTCAAAAATCATGCATTAGCAGAGATAACAAAATAGCACCTCTGACATGAACTAAAGAAAGATGCGAATGAGTAAAATAAGTAGTATGTAAGTACTCATGTTGTTCGCTAGTATAAGAAAAATCAGAAATAATAAACAGATGCCTACTTGGAATTGAGAAAGAGAAACACAAGAAAACCATGCACTTTAGAGGCCTAGTTGTGTACATATCGATTACATTTCTGTCCATTATCAAATCCTAAGACAGGCTAATTCATATCGCATTCTCTGGTAAAATTGGTATTCAACCCACCCGCCTGAGAATGATTTAGGTAGTAAATCTTTCGATCTCTGTTTGCAAATAGGCTTCTGTGTGGATGCCTCGATAATGCCGGATATTCATAGTGTTATATTGATCTTGGTGACTAAGAGAGGAATCCAAGACGCGCGTCTCGTTCCATTTGGTGCTCGTCAGCTGGATGTACCTGCATCCCAGTGAGTGATGTTGTTCCCACTGAGGCTCGGACCCAGTACCCTTCGCTTCAAACACCACAGTATTATCCACTAAGCCACTGGGACACTATAGCCACCTCTTGTACAACGAGGTGCCGGTACATCCAGCTGACGAGTCTTAAATAGGATGAAACGCACGTCCTGTATTCCTCTGCTAGTCACCAAGATCACTAGAATACTCAATTAGTAAATAACCTTCTTAATGATTGTCTAGTGTAATATTGGTTGACATGTCAAGTCTTACCGTGAATCGTTTTGTAAGGTGGTTAGCCCATGTCAAGTTCGTCAGAGACGCTTATTCTCTCTACTACGACTTGACTATAAAATGCATCTACTTAAGATCATCTCACTTTGTTCACCTTATGTTATAGAGATTAATCTCCATCGCAGAATCCTAACCTATTTACACCTAAACGGCTGATATAGTCGTGTTCAGTGAAGACGCTTAATAGAGTAAATCTGCGGAACAATCGAAACCGAGAACAAGAATGTTTTAGGATTGATTTTCCCGCCTTCACAAATGCAAATTGCTGCTTTTATGTAAACATTCGGTTTTAAAGCCGAGAATGAATCACCTGACCATTTTTTACTTACTGAGAAATTGGCGTTGACACAAATGTTTCAGCAGCTAACGAAATGAAAACGAGCCTTCAAAAAAGCTTCAATTACTATTTTAAGCCTCTTGTGAAGCATAATATGTATGTAAATTGTCATTACCTGATTGGTTAGAAGGTGTATGACGTGTCAAATTCGAGACCGTATTTGGAAGAAAATGTATGAAACACTAAGACAACTGAATTTGGATAGAAATTTCAGGTTCCTAATCTAATTTGTGTCGCTAGGTTTCATGAACAGTATCCGACCGACAACTCTAGTAGGTGCTTGGACACTAAACGGACTTCAAATTCGTTCGTAGAAGCAACTATGTGTAATTATACACAAAACGCCGGTTATAATTCATCTTTTCTAATTCATTTCGGCCTCTGATATTTTGTTTTCCTCTTTTATCGAAATTCCATCGGCGTAAATCACCGCATATGCAATCACTCCTGCTACTGAAATGGACTGACTGGTAGGTGTCACCATAATGCGGTGGCCTGGCTTGCATATCACAATGCCCCAATGAGGTTTGGTAGCTACAATGCTATTTCCCCAAGTAAGGTCCATTGGTCAAGCAAAACGCTGTTACCGTCAGTGTTAATTGCTGAGTTATGATGAGGAACCGAGGACGAAGTCGAACTCCTGTCTGGGCAGAATGAGACAAAATTAAGTCATTTGTCACAGATATGACCAGCACTCCCTCCTCATGCTACCTCCACTATTGGAAAAGAGTGATAGAAAAGGCTTACTACAGAAAAAGTACATCTCTCCCTGTCGAACAGTATTTTGGTGCCAATGCCGTGGGTTTTCCTTGTTCGGTGTGGTCCTATGTGAAAAACTTCAAGTAGATGTCCCATGGTTCCAGCTATCGTAGAAAACTAATCCCCTTTTCTCTTCCGGTATTTCGAGAAAGAAACCTCAAGGGGAAGGATCAACCACACAAACGAAATCTAACTTCAAACCTACCTTTAGAACCTTTTTCACCCTCTTCACCAACTGAATATAACATTAGACCTCTTAGAACTTCCTCAACCTCTCACTGGGACCTGTGGTTGCAATCCAAGCCAACGATACGCCACTCCTTGTCTCAAAAAACCACCAATAACAATTCCAATGCTCGAACCCTATGCCAAACCAAACAGTAGGGATCTTTTGTCACAACTATGGAGCCTCGTACCACAAATGCAGACTATGATTTGACAAACGCATATAGGACCCAGGTGTGGTTATTCACTTGACCTCACCTGACCAACGTAGTAAGTCTGCAAAATTCACTTTACGAGTGTTCGGGGATTCAATGGCTAATTCCCGGTTATCCACTGGTGTAGACGTTGTATTAAATGCTTGAGCAGAAAGCGTACTTCTCAACTGCAGACCACTCAACAGCCATCTATGGGCTATCCAACTGAATGGATCATGAGAATTGTTGATGCCTATTCACTATCTCCATCTACACACTCACCCAGTTCATGTCGGATGATGCAAAGGATGAATCCTATCAGAAGCTGTCGATTTCGCTACAGAAACCAAAACGTTCAGATATAGTAATAGTAGTAGGCAATATCGACGCTCAAGTAGGAAAGTTGAGTCAATCGGAAAGGCATCTTGGAGGTGTCTATAGAATCTCAAGACAACAAACCGATAACGATGATCGCCTTCTACAATTTTGTTCTGTTAATCACTTGATTCTGGTCAGAAATAACTTCATAGAGAAGGAGACACTGTCTTGTTTAGCGCCCGACGAAATCAAAACAACGATGGACACAAATAGATCACACTGCTGTAAGCCATGATTAGAGAAAATCGGTAGGTGATTATCTCTCACCCTAGAGTACTTTCTCGAGTTTCTACTAGAAAGTTGAGTGGAGCACTTTGAAGCACAGTTTAACAGACCAACAGAAACGCCGCAGTTGCCCAAGACCTAGATCGAACCGGAATGTGGTGATGTTGGTGCACCAACTCTCCTCGAAGTTGAGGTTTCTTCTAACCTGGAACGATTCTAAGTAGGATGAGATGACGGTTTGTCACCCGATACTTTTAAGAGTGAAGGTAGGGGATTGTGGAGTAGAGTAACGGAGGTACTGAGTTACGTATGGAAATCAGAGATAGTCCCATCAAAATGGTTCAGATCTTTAATTATACACTTGAGATATCCAGCTATTAGTTAAACAACAAGTACAGTCCGCTGTAATCCGTTCTGTTTTATTATACGGCTATAAGACATCGCCTCTGAAAGTAGATTACAGGTTTTTGACCAAAGATTTCTCCGTAGTATTGTTCATATATGGCGGAATCACTATGTGATCAGTGTCGACACTAAGTGAAGGAAGCGAAGTCAGTGGATGCGGTTGTGAACGTTAACTGACTGAGGTGACTTAGATATGTTGACGATACCAAGCAGTTACCTACCTCGACATGTTACGTTAGCTGAATGACTGTTCGGAAGAACGATCGGCTCAGCAGGTCAAGATGTGACACCACTTCATAAAACCCCTGACTGCTGACCTCAGGCGTGTACGGAGGCATAGATCGCGTGGTTGAAATCACTGAGATAATAGAAATCAATGATTCTTAGGGGGGAATGACTTCAAGTCAGTCACAATAGTGCAGACATATTCACCCTTCGACATCTTCTAAAGCTTGAACACTTTCACAAACCTTGAATTTGACATCATTTTCAGTCTACCCCCTTGTTATTTTCGTGCTGCCGTGTAAAGTGGGAACTTGAATCGACACTATAGGTTAATTTTGTTTATTTACCTGTCTTAATTATATTGGTGAATAATTTTAACATATTCCCCGCCGTACCTGAATGAAAGACGGTGACGAAAGTGTAAAGCGGTTGAGAAGCAGTTTCATTATGTAAAGTGAAAATAGCTATTCCATCTGCATTAATTTTTGCCAACAACCCAAAAAGAGTAAGTCTTCCTTACACACAATCGAAATAAGGATACACTTAAGTTCTTTAGCTTATCTAAGCGTAAGAAAACAATGTAAGAAGCATCTAGAAGAGAACAAATGATATCAACAAAACAATCTTTGGTAATAATCATTGACCCATGGTATAAATGGTATGGATGATTTCATTCATATATCTCTGACATAAGTACAACTTAAACACCTATTTACACAATAGCGCGCTAGTAAAGCACACATACAGAACACGAAAATTAATCAAATTTATAGGATTAGACAAATAACAAAAACAAGCCTCACACTGAATAGGTATTCAGATGCATTTTTTTCTTCCTTTCTTCTACACTAAACGACGACCATTATTCCCATCACCATCATTGAACGCTTATCAAAGAGAGATGCATTTCATGGGGGAAAATAACAAATTATTATTGGTAGTAAATCATATCGGTTAGAAGAGAAGTAAATATCCACATAGAGAAGGCGAAATAAATACATACCAATTCATTTTAGAGAAGATATGAAAGCATTGCTTCAGAATAATGAAGCAAAACAATGGATGAATCGAAAGAGAAAGGGGAGGACATCACTGTCACAATAAATCATCTAAAGGTAATAATAGCTCCGGTGTAATTTATCTCTACAACATCTCACTCTTCATTAAAAGAAATAATATATACGATATAGGAGAAAGAAGAAAACTGAAAAGAAAGCAAGTTGTTGTTGTTGTTTTCGCATAAGAAATTAAAATGCTATCATCTATGTCTGGGTGAAGAAATGTAAATACCTATTATATAATAAACACAAGTAAAATAATTAAAAAAATATGTAATAGACTATTTCAAGGAGAGAAAAAGCACACTCAATAATCGTAATAACACATACACACAGAGACAGTTTTTCCAACAAAAATAATCGACAGATTTATCTAGTATATGTGTGTATGTATGTGTCTGTTTGTGAAAGAAGCGATATTGAAACATTGAACAAAAGTATCACCTTGTTTATCTAATCGACTCAACACATACACCTGAATCAATAGTTCGTAGTAAGGATAATCTAGAATTGATACTGGATACTTCTGATGGTGTTCTATAACGTCGTCGACGAGCTATTGCAGCAGTATTGGCGCATAAAGCTGGATTTGTCGACGGTCGTGGAACAAATACAATTAATGGAGATGAATTATTCAATCCATTTGAATCTCTAGATAAATCTCTTTGACTTCTATGCAATATATCAGTATTATTATTATTTGGTTCAATAATATTATAAGAAGAAGAACTGGAACTGTGATCATTATCATCATGATGATAATAATGATCAGCTGATTGTTCATGCATAGATTGATGCTTATGTTGTTGTAATGGATTGATGATAATTTCTTTACATTTCTTTTTTTCATCACAATTTGAAGCGAAACATGGATAATTTTCAATACCACTACTACAATGTACAGGTAAGTCATTTGATAAAGCAGTATTGAAGTAACTATTATTATTGTATACAATATTACCACCATTCATTGGTTGTCTATCATCTGAGTCAATATCACTTGATGATTCATCACATGGAGTACATGATGAACGAGGTAGTAATGTACGCCGGAATCGACGACTACTAATCATGTTACCGTTAAGTTCATTAGATGGACGAGGTTCAAAAATACAATCATATGGTCGATTATTGTTATTATTCTCTTGAAGTTCAGTAAGGCCACGATTCCAATTACCATGTGGTCTAACACCACTACCATTTAGAATATTCGCTGACTGTCCCATATTCATAGAAACTGTATTGATACTGCGTGGTTTGCTACCACCACCACTATTATTATTATTTCTAGTGTTACTCCAGCTAGTTCGACTACGATTACTATTCACTTGAGAATGATGACTTCCACTATTCACAGTGTTCAACCGATTCACCATAACACAACCAGGATTAACTAAACGATTCGATACTAAAGTTTTCTGTTGACCACACGATGATATACTAGTTGCAGTGAAAATCTTATTCCCATTATTATTAACAAAAGCATCATGATTGCCATTTAGACTATCGTGTAAATTTTGTGAAGAATTAGAGATAAGATTTGAAGCGATTCTATTATCTATATTACCATTGGTACTAGGACTACGAGCTGGTTGCCATGATACTAAGTGAGGGCGTTGACGTGGTACAGGTACTGGTCTACAACCATTCAACAAAGATCTTCGATTTAAACTTCGACTATCATCATGTGATTCATCAAAATTCACTACTTTGACAGGATACTTTTCATCATCACCATGATCAATCATATTATCCATAGAAAACCTTCTTAATCCTTCTGCCTGTATATATGGTTCATCTAGACTGGATTTAGTCAATTTTGAACGATGTGTAGACGAAATTGATGGTGCTATTGCAAGGCGTCCAGATAGCTTCGACTTTATATTTGACTTTCTCAGATTACTGGTCGATAAAGATTTCCCATTACTAGTTAATGCTTTTCCATTGATATTCAGTGACTGATTATTGATTTCAGCACCAGGATCACCGACGATGATGATATCTGCATTTTTGTCAGCAGTTTTATTTCCCAGTGAGTTGCTTGTAGTGACAGTAATATGATTTGATGAAACATTGTTGGTAAGTTTGATATCCGAATCACCAACATCTGAAATATTATCCTTAAACTGATTGGCACCAGTATTGCTAGTAGTAGTACTAGTAGCGGTGGGATATTTAGCTCCAGCATTTTCAACAGTCTTCTTACCAACTGATTCATTCGGTGACTCGATATTTGATGAATCTAATGGTAAATTCTGATTACTATTTGGTGTTTCAACTAAACCACGACAACCACCACCACCGACATCACAACCAGTGTTGACATCACCATCGATGTCAACTAGATCTTGACTAGACAAACCCAGTCCAGCTAGTTGAGTCATTGAACCTGCTGCGTAACTATTCAATCTAGTTAAACGGGATATTGATCCCGAAGTGAAGCGTCCACCAACTGTACTAATCGCGATAGCATTAGTCATTTGAGCTACGCTTGCTTGACTTTGATCTGCAGCATATCCACAATTTCCAGTTAGAATACTTATATCATTACCTCCAGTTCCAATAAGACTATGACCCCCTCCTCTAGGTGAAGCTACATAGATACTTCTATCAGCTGTAGAAATGGAAGGGTGAGCACTAGAACAAATCTGCTGTGCTGGCAACACAGAACTACTGTTCTGAGCGTCTACAGCAACACCACATTGCTGATCACGGTGACTTTGTCTAACAGGTGTAAGAACAGGTAGTCGTGAGGGTCTATGCTCAGTAGAGTTATCATTTTTGCGTTGGTTTCCAGGGTAATGTTGAATAGATTCTTTTACGTTCTCCTCATTAGTTCTGGATACTGAATTATGATGAGTTAACTCGACTGACTTACCAACTTCTGTTGTACTTCTGTGGTTAAGCGCTGCCATTGATCCATGACGCTTCGATGAAGCACGAGGGTTAAAAGCACCAACAGATGAACCTACTGTAGAATTTAAACGTCTGTTGCGTTTTGAATCCTCAGTATTATGACCTGTAGATGAATATTCTGGTACCTTGTGAACGGTCATGAGCGCAGCAGCATCAGTATCATTTGTTGCTTTATGAACGTGTTCTAGGCTTTCTTCAACAGTTGCTGTGACCAGTTTACCAAGATCATGATTTCGAAACTCGCCAACTGCCCCAGGTGTTGGAGGAGGTGAGAGTGGGGAATGACGTTTGTTATTATGATCTAAACTTTCTCCTCCAGCAATTAAATCAGTTGACAAAGTTCTTCCGCCGTTTAGCACTGGAGGGACGCCATCTTGTAAAGATTCATTCATGCTACTGGCCAGATGATGTATTGAATTCCCGCCTATGCTAACACCGGTACCCAAACCCATAGTCTCTACACCACGTTGAATTTGACCAAGGGCACCATTACGATGAGGAGGAGGAGGATGTCGATGACTTGATGCTAAATGCTGAGTTGCATGGGTTTTCCTATCAGCAAAACCCGTATGTTGAGCATTACCAGCTGTAGCAGAACCTGTATACCCTACACCCATATGACGGCTACCTTGTTGATCGTTTGCTCCAGGTCCAGGAGTTAAAGGTGCAGCAGTTGAATTAGGTTGTTGACTATCCGCTACGGTCAATGGTTGCTCCCAATCAAAAGGATCAGACTCATGAACATCTCGACGAGTCATAGCCTGCTTTATAAGACCACGAAGCATAGCATAATCCGGTCGATCAGGATACGAACATCCTTCAATATATTCTAAGAATGTACGGTATTCACTTGGAAGACAGCGTGTTAATGTCATATGATTGAAATTGTTCTTTATTTGACCAACCTGGAATGAAATATACACAAAAGACATTACAAAATATTACCTCACTCAAAATTTAATCAATCCAGTTTACTGTCTTAGTTTAACCATTTTAAAATCTTATCCATTTTACTCTTGTTAGTCACCACAACAAGATAAACCGGATAGTAGTTGAATACATGGCATAATCAGTCCAATCATCTCAGTTGTGTTGGGTTCATCAATTCACTAAACCAACCAAAAACATGCCAAAACCTGACATTGATTACGTAGAGGGCTAAGTACAGCTACGAATGGATACTTTCATAATCCTAATAATTAAATAACTTTTACACGCGGCTTCCAACTACCACATCTTACATGTGCACACTTAAAATAGGTGAACATCCTAATGTCATCGTACAAGTCATGGCTTTATAGAGAGTGGGGTATTTTGTATGGTTTTCAAAATGAAATAAAATTAGTTGTGAAGAATTTCACACTAGTTTTTTTCTACAGAAAAACACCTTCTAGTTTACAAGCGCTAATGGCATTACCAAAAAAATTCATGTTCACATTCAAAAGTTGAAAAACACGAAAGCAAGTTCTACTATGTATCAGTCATAATGAAGTATCTGTCTTAGGAGTTACACCACAAACTGAGTGTAGTAACAATCGAAGTATCATAATATAAGAAGTTGGAGGTGTTAACAAAAACTTGAAGGCACTCAATTAGGCGCATCAAATTTCTCATCCTACAGAAATAATCTCCCCGATACAAGTGGTTATTGTATCCTGAAATGTCAACAACTAACTACAAACGCAATCAATGCCTGACTAAATGATTTTTTTGCAGGTCGGATATAAAAATGATATGAAGAATGTATTGCATAACAGTCAGTCTAGACAGCGCAGGTAGAATAACAAAAAATAGGTATATAAAACAGATACAATAAATATAGGGATAAACTGATGAACATTATACACACTGAAATATCAGCTGAGGATAAGATTGACTAGCACAGTCAATCAAGATGAATTTGAAGTACTTTATATATTCTGTAGATGACGAAACTCTTTCATTCCGATATAAATTCAAAACAAGCCACACATATGTAGAAAGGAGCAGAAGTTCATTAAGTCAAAGATTTTAAATGAAGTTTTCAGTTGAGTACTCTAAATTCATGACTGTAGATGATTTGATACAATACAGGAATAAATTGTTCCTAGAACGACTACAATGTAATAATATTCCAAATGGATAAAAATGAAATGTCACATGTAGATAGGAAAATGGACCAATGTAGAGATATTCAACCGTTGCCTTCGTAGTATAGACCGTATTCCGTATTGTCACCACAGGAGTAACATAGAACTCCGGCTCAAGTGTAGAGTTTTAGGGAGTTGACACGGTTGTGAACCTTCATCGACTGAGATGCCTGGCTTCGACATATGTTACGTATGCTTAATCACCATCTGCCTCGTCACACAGTGTTGACCAAAGTAGGTTCAGGCTGGGTAGAGAATCGAGGTGGCCAGACCAAAACATGGCATCAATGTATGAAGTCTCTGACTGTTGGTTTAAGTCATCCATGTGTGGTGATGCAGACTACGTGGTTGGGGTCTGTGGGACAAGAGGAACCATTGGTTGGAGACTCTATGTGATGGCATGGCTGAGAGCCGATGTCAGTGGAGCAGATGTATACACACACTGTCCTCATCTTAACGATGCTATACCGAATCTCACCATTTTCTCATTCTTCCTCTCTTTCTCCTCGTACTTTATATTTCTTTTGACTGAATTTTCTTACCTTTATCTTTCACCTCACTACTTCTCTACTTGATGTACTGATATGAGCTGCTTACAACTCCGAGGGTTATGCAGTAATGCCCGGTCCTATGCTGATATTGATGAAGAGAGATATTCCAAATTCATCAGAAGAGTAAGTAGGGTCATGTGTATTGTATTGTCATCTGTTTTTTTTAACTTTATCTACTATAGCCTCCAACTATTCATTAAGAACATTTCCACGAGGTCAATCAACACAGCTTGGATGAATAGTCAATAACTTCATGAATTGTTGCTACATCTTGATTCAACAATCATGAGGTTTTATGAATCTATTCTCATTGTAGGTGTCATAAAATACAGCTGAACCATAACCTTAACCGATGCGCGATATCTTTTTCAAATGACGAAAACTTAAATATATTTCTTGGGATAAAAAAAGGAGATACTGAGCGCATGTTGGGTTTTACAGACACTATAAAGAGTCTAAGCAACATCATCTTGGAGAGACTAAAACGAAAACGCTCTGAATTCAAAATTACGACCAAAACAGGCTAGCTGGTTGGCTTCAGGAAAAACAAATCATGTGCCGATCAAATTGCAACGATGCGCTGCATATCATTATACAATAGAGCATGGGACGGCAATCAACTCAACCCAACCCCAACTTCATCCACTTTGAAAAGGCCTTTGAAAGCGTCTACCGAGAAGTAATTTGGTAGTTTTTTCAAAACTACGGTTTCAGTGCCACAGACCTTTATCAACCTCATTCAACAGCAGATATACGCTATATGATGAGGCTACATGCCAAGTGATTCACAATGGAAAGCTCAGTGATGCCTTTGAAGTGAAGACAAGGCTACTATCTACTATCACCAATGATCTTCCTGATTATGGTCGACTAAACTCGACTGGAGTGGGTCATGCAAACAAACTGTGAGAAGCGAGAAGAAGGGCATATGCTGGCTGGACCGATGAAAAGACCCCAAAGGGAGACTTGGATTCTGCCGCCGATGATAATTTATGTCTAATGTCTTGTCGCTCAAACTCGATTTACGGGCGAAAACTAACAAGCTGGCAGAAAAGGCGATGCAGCGAAGATAGGACTTCAAGTGAACGTAAAGAAGACGGAGGTGATTGAGATAGCTAACTAACAACAACAACAACAACAATAACAAGCACCAATGACCACCAGCGGGACAAATCTAAACGAAGTTGTCTCTTTCACCTACCACCTAGGCAGCATCGTTCCAATTACAGGCGTCGGCGACACAGATGAGGACATCAAAGGCACGATCGGAAAGACAGCAAGACGGGCCTTCATTAACCTGAAATCAGTATGGGCGTCTACTGCACTGCACTCAGCATAAAGCGTGAACAACATCCGGATTGTCAACACTAATATCAGTCAAGTCAGTGCTGGTATATGATGGTTGAGAGACTTGGCGGCGCGTTACGAAACGCATTTCCAACAAACTACAGACATATATCATCAACAGCTGCTGGCTGCACTCACTCCGTACCGATAGTGAAGATGAGGTGGCCAGAATAACAAGAATAAACAACAAGCAACTCTGGCTGGCTGGCTAGCAACGAGCCAACCAAGAACCCATCCCCCAACAAATATCCAGAAGTGGAGATGGATTCGATTGGACATACACTGCGATGACCATTCGGCGACATCACACGCCAGGTCCTCAAGTGGAATCCAAATGGGAAACGACAAATTGAGCGTATCAGCTGAGGGTGACATGGAGATGGTGTGAAGAAAAAACGAAATTTTCTGGGCAGTGATGGAGCCAGGTTGAGAAGACTGCAGAGAAGAGAACGAAATGTTGACATGCTACTGAAGCTCTATGTTCCACTAGGAACCCAAGAGATAAATAATAGTAAAAAAAAAGTCAACTCATCAGAAATTTTCCAGTGGTAAGTAAGAAATAAACAGTTCAAGTCACTGATAATATTTGGGAACTAAATTGTAAGAAACTGTTGCTTCCTTCTCTGGTCAGTGGTGTCAACAAATCAGTAAGTAATGTATGAGAACATGGAAGTACTTATGACTTGATAACTCATCTCTTACAATAATAAAGTTAATGGAATAACTTTATTACAATTTAAAGTTTTTAAACGGAAATGTAAGAGAAAGTCAATTTAAATGATTGCATAAGCAAATAAATGAATACTGATTACATATGACAAAGATTGGTAAAGAGTGATTGATTTCAATAAATTCACTCACCTGTTCTTTATCTTTAATTCTACGCCATGGTAATTGACCTGATGCAAATTCAACAAGCATATAAAACATTGACCATAAATCATCATGTCGACCCATTTCACGATTCATATGAGCATTACGTGATGCATAACGTACTGTTCCACGAAATCCAGCTACTGAACGTGCTGGACGAACATCTCCTTTAGGTGTAGTATATTGACGTGCTAGACCAAAATCTAGCATATAAATTGTTCGACAATTTGTAGGAAGTCTACCTACAGCAAAATTTGACGGTTTAATATCTCGATGTAAAAATCCAGCCTCATGAATAGCTTCAATAGCATTTAAAATTTGTAAACTTAAACGTATTGTTGTAGATGTAGAGAAAAGTCCTCGTGACATACTACGTCGTAAATCTGCCAGATTCCGACCCTAATAATAAAGATAACAATAACAACAACGACTATGCGATAGAATAAGTTCACTATGATATTATTCAGCTAATAGTTTGATGAAAATGTACAAATACATAAAACTGTCTAACTTTTACCAACTAAAGAAAATGAATCAGTTTAATTTCAAACACTAGTAGTGTTATGCAGTTGCTCAGATCTAAACAGTCACATCCATAGAACAATGATTAGTAAATTCAAATCACATCACAAACAAGGTTCTTCTTCAAAGTCAGTCCTTATTCTAACAGAACTATTTGTTTGGAATAGCATCTTTGATTACTTCTTCAATCAAGTCACCTTTTCACATATACAAAATAAAATCCTCCTCAACCACATGTTCATACACTAGACAATGAACCGTGAGGACTAATGACTAACCAAGTAGTTAAGCAAGGTTTCAAACCGATGACCCACTCAAAATGTCACAGCTACACAAAGTGCCCCCATAGTGGGTCACATCCACACAGCCTGGGTGAAAAAAAAAGAGATCTAACCGCTAAATCACGCACAAACTCCAGACCACAACAATCTACAAATCAACACACCGTTTACCTCTGCTGTCAGAAACAGCATATTCATTTCAAACACTATGATTTACTTGCTTGACCGATAACTAATTTGAAAACAGACTGAATAAAATACTAAACAAAAATCCAGATTGTATAGATTAGTAACAGTACACACTTGATGGGTTTAAAGGTAGTTTCCTTTTTATCATATCTACATGAAGCAAACTATGATTGGAAATAAAAACACTAAGCAACTGTTTTTTGCAATATATTTAGTTTCAATAAAACCTTTCTATCCCCTGAATCCAAGTCAATGACGTTAGTGAAATACATTGAGAGACCAATATGAAGCATCAAAAAAGGTAAACAACAGATATTATCAAGATAGGATAGGACGTCATTGCATAACGATCTAAGTCGTTAACCTTTATATCAGCAAATCAACTACCGTTAAGGTTAAAAAATGGAGAAAATACATAATCGAAAGTAAAATGTCGTAGAACATAGAGGATGTGACAAAAGACAAAAAAAAACGAAATATGACACAGACCTTAAGACGCCAAAGAAGTATCCATGAAACAAGTTTAGAATGTATTCCTCAGTACACAGTGTTCTATCTAATCTAAAACAACAGCTGACCACGCTCGATACTGAAGATCAGATGTCCAGAAGGAATAAGCAAGAAGAAAAGAACCAACCAAGAACCTATCACCGAACAAATATGCAGAAGTGGAGATGGATTGGGTATACACTGAGAAGGTCGATTAGGGACATCAAACGCTAGGCCCTCAAGTGAAATCCAAAGGGGAAACGATGAGTTGGGTGCCCCAGCTGAGAGTGACACGGAAGAGATGGTATGAAGGAGAAATAAAACCTTCTGGGCAGTCGTGGAGCGAGGTTCAAAATACTACAGAGAATACAGTGCAATGGAGACGTGCTACTGAAACCCACTGGGAACCCAAGGGAAAAATAATAATAATAAAACAAGTAAAGGAGAGTATAACGACCAAAGACTTGTAGTTTATTGATTCAAGTGAACCACTTCTTCTAACAAGTAGGGTCATAAGTTTGAACTGATTTTAACCTACTAAGATTGGAATACAATCCCATGGACCTACGACTCTTAACTGCTGAATTTCAACAACACACGATGAAAAAAATATATACACATGCAAAACTGTTATTGCTTCCCCTGTAAGACAATAAAATGAACAATTTCTGGTTTTAAAAAGTAATAGGTTTTTCCTAAAATTAAGAAATTCAAGCAATTTCTATCAAAATATACACTAACTACAAGATACATCAAATTGACGCTAGAGAACAATCATCAAAATGACAAATAACCATCACCACCACCAACAATAACAACGAAAAGAAGTTAACAGATCCTAACTCTCAAGAGAGTGAACAAAAAGTGGCTATCGTTCCTCCATGGCATAATGGATAACGTCTTGGCGTTTGAAGCGATGGATACGAGGTTCGAGTCTCAGTGGGGACAACATTACTCTGGACTGGGGTCCACTTACATCCAGCGGATGGGTCCTAAATAGGACGAAAAGCACGTCCTGGATTCTTCTGCTAGCCACAATCAAGTAAATTACCGTAATTAACATTCAGGTAAATATCGAGGTATCCGCACAGAAGCCCATATGTCAATAGAGGTCAAACAATCAGACCTAATAAAACAACGGAGAATTACAAGCATATCAATAAATAGTAATCTCAACAGATCGAGAAATTTCATTGGATCGAAAGCAATGGAAATAACCATTGACATTATTAGTAAAATAAAATAATCACCTTAAGCCGCTTAGCATATTAGAATGTACACATTGATTGGTGACTGGAGGGGGTAACCAACTTTATATTGTCTAGCCCTAAGTGCTCATCGAATTCTATCGACCAGACCAGGCAACTCAGCATCGCAATGCACTTTGATGAATGTTAGTTGGATGGAGGCAATCAGCAGGAAGCCTTGCTTGACCTAGGTTTCGTGCTAGTTGACACCCGTCAGCAAGGCGTATCTGCAACCTGCATCTAATCCAGTCCCACAAAAGGTCAGTTGCGGCCCGAATAGCTTAGTGGAAACTTCGCTGACTAAAACACTGAGTGACGCAGGGTTCAGATCTCAGGCGGGAAATCAGTTCTGTCAACGTTGCAAATACGCCTTGCTGACAAGTGCCGACAAGCACGAGAACTAGGTCAAGCAAGGCTTCTTGTCGATTGCCTCCAACTAACTAACGAATTAGATTGTTTCAGGGTAAATAATAGTGATGCATAGTGCTCATTAAAATATAAGAGAGTTGAAGGTATCAGCTTAGGTTTAGGTTAAAGTGTTCTCCAGGGTGGCGAATGCTAGCAGGAGAACTTTCAATGACTGAAGATGACGAATGAAAAGTCATCCAACATTCTGCTCATCAAAAAAATGCCAATTCTTCGAAAACTTCAACCTGGAAATTTACATCTTCAGATACAGATATTCGTTATCTTTACAACAACCACATGAAGAAAATATACCGACCGAGAGCTGCTACCTTGATGTAGTGGTCGGGTTTGGACATCAAAATGACCCATAGAGATATGCTGATGGAACGCATGTTTTCTCGAGGTCCTACAATATCAGAAAGATACGTTGGATGGTGATTAGACAAAAAGGAGTTATCATTATAGAGTAAATTGCTAGGTTATGATTAAATCTAAGGGCGAAATCGTACTGGTGGCTGCATGGGAGTGTAAAAATAGTAAGGTGTTTCCCTTGGATGACCACCAGTGTCACTTTCATGCTGCCTTCCCCTATGGGATAAGGGGCTGTTACAAACGGTCAGCCCCCAAAATAGCATACTCTCATCATCCGCGGTATGTCTGTGCTTGCAACATTGCTTCGTAGAAGAACACGAAGGCAACAAAACGAAATCTCTAACTCGCAAGAAGGCCGTGTGACCGGCCTCCATCAGATGTCTCTTGGGCTCCACGGTCACGCATTAACGCTTCTTTTTCAGATACCTCAAGAATAACAAGCCCTCTACTGTCTGGGCAGCCAGAAAGTGTTAACCACCCTCACAACTCTGTCAACACTTGATTTCCCTCAGATCACTGTTCACCTCCTTCATGTCCCTCAGTCAACAATCGTACACCATTTTTAATTTTCCCAGCCTTGCAGCTCTTGACAACGATCACAGTCTATGGGATAGTATTTTTGGTCTGCCGAAACCGTGTCCCAAACTACATATTGAGGCTTTCAATGTCCACACACTCCAACAAGTCAGCTAATAGGCTTCATTAGAGGTGTAGGACGTGAGAAGGCTTTAGGTGCTCGATCACCATTGTCTTCGTAGGATAGACCACGGGTTGTAATGTCACCACTTCAGTAATGACGAAGTTGGTTGAAGAGTTATAGGGAGAGGTGGAAATTCAGTCGATGCGGTAGTGACTGGAATATGTGCTACGCATGCCATGCCAAGTCATCGGCGGCCTCGTCATGCATTGTTACCTGAAATAGGTTCAGGCTGGAGAAAAGTAAGTGGTTGCCAGAATAAAACATTGTATCACTGTATGAAGTCTTTGATAGTTAGACTTAGCCATGTATGGAAATGTAAACTTCCCGAATGGGGTCCACGTGACAACAGAAACTAGAGGTTAGAGATTATGTGAAACGGCTCAGAACTGATGTCGGCGGCACAGAAGTATCCATCCATTATCTTAATCATTATACCGTATTCAGTGTTTCCTTATTGCTCCTTCTTCCCTGTGACTGATTTCTACTGCTTTTTGACCGTTTCTTCGTATTTTTCTATCTTTCATCTTAATGTCTAGTTGCTTGATGTCCTGACGTGTGGTGACTTGATGTCTGGCCTTATGTTGATATTGATGATGAAGACAATACACACCGGAAGAATTAAAATAAGATCTTCTGACGACAACCTTGGAAGTCTAGAACAAGATTCTAAAGATATTACGAGACTTAATTATGTGATCTGATATACCGATTGTATCTGGTGAGTCTTATTCATAGTCACAACCGCATAATCTCATCCTTTGAGAATTCACAAAGGGGACTCACTTGTATTTTCGTGTATAGTGTTTCTACTTGAAAGCATTTACTAGTTTTTGGAGTAGTTATTCAAGATAGAAATTCCTGCACAATCCAAATAGTCGGAAATTGCTGCTAAATTATCATTTTGTCTGAAACCCCAATCAATCATCATCATCATTTATAACAAAAAAGATTGAACAACAATATCAGGGTGTAAGGAAACAGGTTCCAGATGCCAAAAGAGAAGAACTAACTTTGGTCCGCAAAGCCCACAAACATGTAATTATTATTATTTATTATTTGTCCCTTGGGTTCCTAATGGAACATAGGGCTTCAGTAGCACGTCTCCAGTGAACTCTGTTCTCTGAAATCTTTTGAACCTGACTCCACGATAGCCCAGAAGCTCTCATTTCCTCCTCGTACAATCTCCTCCAT